TTTATAATAATAATAATAATAATCATAATAATAATAGTATTTTGGAAATAATAACCATAATAGTAATAATAATAATAGTATTTTGGAAGAAAGGCTTGTGATATACAAATTCAACAAGGATATTGAAATTTTTTAAAAAATATTCAAAACAAAAAATTGCCAGCAAAAGTATAAATTAACCGAGTATCAATTTAGTACAGAAAAACTGTATATTTTGTGTACTGTATATATATACTTCTTAAAGTTCTGTTTTGTGGGTGAATATATCAACTTTAATTTCTCATCTTTTAGATAGAAATGGTGCAAGAAGACAGCTTATAATAGTTAACATTGAGATTATAAAATAAACTAGAAAGACCTCTGTTAATACTTTAAACTATAATTAAAATTTTTTCTAAAAAGTGACAATTGAAAATATATATATATATATATATATATATATATATATATATATATATATATATATATATATATATATATATATATATATATATATATATATATATATATATATATGAACACTCCAGTATTTTTGGATTTAATTACATATCAATACCTTTAATTCAGCAAGTATCATAATTCAATGCCGCATCATTTTTTTATTTATTTTATTATATACTAAATGTACGGATACTCAATTTAAATGAATTAATATCTAAGAAGATTTATATTTTAAAGAGTATAGTTTTCTAAAAATCAACATAGATTTAGTCAAACAGAATAAAACTTTTTGAAAGTGACGAAACGGTGCCTAAGAATATGCCAGTTATGTTACATATTAGTGGATTATCAATATCAATAAGTAAAACTACATTGTTAAATCTTTAATTAACACGTTGATTTAAATAAAGTAAGAGATCCATGCAACAAGCTATATAACAAACCTGATTTAAAAATATCGTGTATGTTTTCAGGTATATATGAATAGGGATGACATACTAATATACTATGCTTAATAAATTTGATTGAAAAATCTTGAAACAAAATCACAAGAGACAAAGTTGTTATACCATGAGAGAAGAAATGGCTCGGGTAAGCTATTATGTACATTGATTATCAAATTATCATTGGTTACAGCGTAAATTTCAGGTCCTGGAAATTGACCATTGATCAGAATACCCTGCAAAATAATACACAATTATAAGAGACAAGTGTTGTATATTGAAACAAAAATAAGAAGAATGATAAAAAAAATAACAAACCTGTTGTTTAACTCCGAGAGGATAAATATCACCATAGGTAACATTCCAGTCGAAGAATTTATAAGGATCTTCAGCAGCAACAAGAAAAAGGATTGAGCAGAAACCGAACAAAGAAAGTACGAGGTTCATGTTGAACAGAGAAGAGACAAAGAAACAAAACAAATGGTTTGGACTTGGATGTGTGTTTGAGAAAGAAAAGTTAAATGAAATAAATAGAGGAAGAGAAATCCAACAAGGAAAGTGTAAAGAGAAGATTATAGTTGGAGTAACAACACACACATTTATTATGAATATATATACGAAAACCTTATAGGTAAGGTAACTATATATAGTAATAATATTGTAATATAAAGACAAACGGAAGAGGTAGTTGATTATTATATTATAATAAATGGCAATGGTGCGTAATAAAATTACAAAAAGAAGAAAATGAAAATGGAAAATAGAGGCGGTGATTGCGTGTAGCGTGTGATCCAGTTTGCAATGAGCATATAATGTTCAAGCTGTGTGACAGTACATTGAGCCGCGACACACGGTATCTTAATATTATGTCCAAGTTTGAAGTACGCGGTTTTTTTAAAAGACATTCTATGTATATGTTGTTTTGTTTGATTTGGTTGGTGCTTTTTGTGATTATAGTTGCAAATAATTAGGAGGATAGGTGAATGGAAGTTTCGTGGTTACTCTAGTTGTTTAAAAATGTACGCTATTTAAAAAGTTTGTATATAAATTAAAGATTGCAATAATTTTTCTTTAAATATTATAATTTTATTAAATTAATTCTATTAATTATTCGTATATCTTCCACTATCATATTCAAATATAAATGCAAAGTAGAGTAAAATACTTCTTTTTTTTTTGGTATAGTATGATGGATGAGATTTCATCACATTGAAAAAGTGAAATATGATAGATTTGAATGTGCGTCTTTTTAAAAATTATATATATAATTGATTTAATATTTATTTCCCATTCATTAAACCATGGAGTTTATTTTAGTCATTAACTTAAAAATAATATTATATTAGTCTTTCAACTTTTAAAATGTACTTTTTTTAATTAACGATGAAAACACTTAAAAACTAATCTTGGAATTTGCCACTAATAAATAAAAATGATTAACTTAATGCGTTTTGAACGTCAAATCAATTTCAGCATTCAAGATTGATCCCATAAAAAAGAAGTTCAATTTAGCCACTAAACCTTAAAAGGATAGATATTTATGACAAGAATAACATCAAGATAACGAAGAGAGAAGGAAAAATATATATTTTAATGACAAGAATAACATCAAAACAACGAGGAAAGAAGGAAAAAAATGTATTTTATTACTGACGCTTAACTAAAATTACTGAGATTTATATCAGTCATAAAACTTATAAAAAAAAACACTTGATTTAGACAAGAAAAACAAAAAGTTGTCGTCAAATACAAAACAAATTATATAATCATTTGTTAATTTGGACGGTTGTGAATGGACCTAAAAGTTGAGAGTCTTTAAAAACTCTTATATAAAGGATTGCAACTAATAAACTTTCTTTTTTGGAGGAGGAATGGTTTTCAAAGTTGATTACGTGTAAGGTTGATTTTTTCTAGTTATTCATGTTGACACTGCAGACAAGCAGGGTGTTATTGGTGAATTTGGTTTTTGGAAAAATTATGTGTGGCATTGAAACCTTGCCTTCAATTCGTATGAGGTTGGTAGTGTCGTTTTGTCGCAGCATCATGCATTATTGACAATTTTGCAGGATATCCACATCCAGTTTAATATTCCTAATCGTTTTTCTTAGCCTGCTGGTAAGTTGGGATTGTTTTCAGTAAATTCCTGTTATAATGTCATTGCGAATGAGCAGTTTGAGTTTGGCTTGGAGAGTTCTCTCACTTCTGCTTTGAAAGTCACTTGGCATTCCAAGTTTCCTTTGAAGGTTAAAATTTTTGTTTGAAGGTTTTATTAGACGGATTGCCTATGCGGTTTAATTTGAGCTGCAGGGGTATTGTTGTTAATGTTTACGATAAGGTCAACGTGTTCTGCTTTAGTTGTGATGAATACCATAATCACCTCTTCTTTTCGTGTCCTAAAATTGCAAGTGTTTGAGGCAAAATTTTGGCTTGGTTGAAAGTTCCTTTCCTTTTTGGAGCTGATTGTCATCTCCATCTATTGAATTGGATGATTTTACTCTCGAAAAAATACGATAGGTCTATTGTTAGTTTAATTTGGTGTGTTATTTGTTGGTGTATTTGAAGATCTAAAAACCATATTGTTTTTGGAGACAAATTCTTTAATCTGGTTGCCATTCTAAATAGAATTGTTTTGTTTTCGTGGTTTTGGTTACCTATTAAAAATAAATATTTTTCTAGGTGCACCTTTTATGATTGGCTTAAATATCCATTAGATTCATTGTAATTGTGTTTTAGTGACGGTTTGTTTGCACTTATTTTTATTTACTGAAGTATTCTTAATATTTCTTTTCATTATACTTGTGATTATAAAAAAAAGGATTGCCAATGAAGAGATTTATATTTTCGAAAATCTAAAAATATTATCACTTACTTTATTCATTCATTCATTTGAATGTTAGAGTATTTTGGATGTAACACCTTATCACTTCTTCAATCCGAAAAAGAGAAGTATTATAAGACATTTTCATCTTATTTGTAGTGGTAATTTATTGTTGAGATATTTTAATCTGTATAAGAGAATTTGAAAAATATATATGATATTTAATTTTAAAATATTTATAGTTACATTAAATTTTATTTTGAAATGAAAAACTATTTTTTCTATTTAAAACATTTTCTAAGAATATGCATATTAAAAATAATAAAATAAAAATTTCGTATAAAAAATTTTAAATTTAAAAACAATTTTAAAAAAATATTTTAAAATTTTATTTATTGATATGTATATTAAAGGTATGTTAGCGATTGTTAGTACTGCTTTCTTAATGAATTGATGAGTTGGTTTTTATTTATATGGAACATTTGGTCGTTGTTGACTGTATAGAGCCAACCTGGTGAGATTGACATTTTTGTATATGTTCAGATTTATATAAATAAAAATTGAAATGAACCATCCACATACTTTTTCTTCTTTTTTTTCTTTTTTCTTTGTAAAAACTTTTCCTTCATTTTATTCACAGGTTTTGTGGTTGGTTAATGTAAAACAAACCAGTCACATCACATGCGGCGGGCATTGTCCATTTCATAAGAAGCCAGTTGGCAATAATGACAAATGGCAATAAATTCATTCACACATTTTTTTACTCTCCCCGTCATACCATAATTATTTACACATGATAAAATATATATAAAAGATAAATAAAAAGAAATAGTTTTGTTAATAAACAAGAATATCTTATATAGTTATCACTTTATTATTATTATTATTATTATTATTATTATTATTATTATTATTATTATTATTATTATTATTATTATTATTATTATTATTATTATTATTATTATTATTATTTATTTCGACTATAGAAAATTGACAATCCATCAAGTGATTTATAAGTATAGTGACTATTATCGTTATTATTGTTTTATTCTTTGTTATAGGTAACTGACAACTTATCAAATGCTCTATAATAAGTGTGACTTTTATTAGGATAAGTATCTCAAATGAAAGTAGGGGAGGACAAGCACGAGTGGATTGAAGTTATTTAGAGGAAAACTCATCTTAGGGTGGCCAGAAGATCGATTTGGACGATGTATGGGGGCAAATGAGGGGAGGAAACAGAGGCAATATTCACGTTTTTCTTCACGAAGATTTTGGGTTCATATGAAGCTAAAGAGATGTTCGAGGTCTTCAAATCATTTGGTCTGGTTGTAGAAGTGGTCATTCCACCAAGGAGAGATAAGTGTAGCAAACGATATGGATTCGTTCGTTTCAGAAAGGTGGAAAACGAAAGGATTATGGCAGTCAAACTTAATAACATCATCATCCAAGGGAAGAAGATATATGCTAATGTACCAAGATTTCAGTGTGACTTCACGAATGCTCAGAGTAATGAGATGAGGAGCAGGATCATGGAGAATAGGGGGAGGAGCATAAATTATCAACATGGGAACGATGTCAGGAATCTTAGGAGCAAAAAAATTTCTTATGCCCAAGTTGTCGGAGGTAGAAACGTGGGTGGTGGTCGTAATGGAGCGGAACCAAGACAAATTTGAACACTTACAGGGGTAATCATCAATGGGAGCAAGTGGAGCCAAAACCCAGCTTTGCTCACTTACAGCTCAACATAAATAGCAAAGATATGGAAAGATTTACAAAGACTTTCGTGGGGGTGGTAGAAAAAACGGGGACTACATACAATGTCCAAGAGGCGTTACACTCAGAAGGATTTTTTCGCATTAAGGTCGCGCCGATGGATGCTAACTTATGCTTGCTTGATGAAACGGAAGAGGATGAGATTAAAACAATGGTTAAGGAGACAAACGCTTAGGTAACCCAGTGGTTCTCTGACGTTCATCCATGGTCACCGAAGGACGTGGATAATGAGAGACTCATTTGGTTACATTGACATTGTCTTCCTTGTCACGCTTGGTGTCCACAATTTTTCAAACTCATTGCGGGTATGGTGGGCCAATATTTTAAGTCATATCAGGAAACTGAATGCCATAAGAAGTTCGACGTGGTAAGATCTTTGGTTAAAACAAAACATACTTTGATCTTGAGCGAAGCTTTCAACGTAGAGGTGAACAAAAAGATCTACATAGTCAAGTTGGTGGAGGACATGCATGGGCCTAAGAGAATTGCATTCCCTAGGAGTCCTGAGATGGATAGTGAAATAGACTTTAATGATTCTGAAGAGGATGTGGGCGACGCGTGGGATGGGTCAGAAGATGAAGAAGAAGGCAAAATCAGGGATGGAAATTCGGATGGTAGCAGGATTGGGAAGCATGAGGATCCGAGTCCCCAGAATGTGTGCTCTAAAGATCATATGGTTAACGAGGTTGTCAATGATGGTGAGGCTAGGAATATAGCTATGGTGGGTTCAGTTATGGCAGATAATGTAATGTCAGGTGAAAATGTAAGCTTTAGATGTGAAGGCTCGGAAAAAATAAACAGTAAAAAGGGACGGGAAAAGTCAAATCTTATTAATTTAGATGTAGGAGGAGTTAAGGTGGGATGTGTGACAAGTGGTAACACATGGTATCTTAATATTATGTCTATATTTGAAGTACGTGATTTTAAAAAAAAAAAAAACATTATATGTATATGTTGTTTTGTTTGACTGTTGGTTGTTGCTTTTTGTGATTATAGTTTGAAGTATTTAGAAGGATAGGTGAATGAAAGTTTTATGGTTACTCTATTTATTCAAAATGTATACTATTTAAAAAATTTGTATATAAATTAAAGATTGCAATAATTTTTTTCTAAATATTACAAATTTACTAAATTAATTCTATTAATTATACGTATATTTTCCACCGTCATATTCAAATATAAATGCAAAGTAGAAGAAAATACTTTTTTTATTGGTAGAGTAGCATGATGGAAGAGATTTCATCATATTAAATGCTTTGTGTCGTTCTGTTGTAGTGTTGTAACCTTCTTTCATATCTTCAACTCCCTTTTATAGAGGCAGAAAAAGAGTCGTTGGAAGTGGCTCGCATAAGAGTTCTTTGTTGAGAAGCAGTTCATGAGAAACATTGGAAGATGAATTTGGTTAAGATTATTGTCCATTGAGTAATAGCATTGTCCATAACGTCTTTCTCATACTAGGTATCTATCAAAAGGTTGGGGCATACTTAAGAGGTCACATCACCTTTCCTTGAGCCTTGCTAAATGAAACCCTAGTTGACTTTTTCAATAATTTGGATATTAATAAAACTGGTCTGTTTTGGAGACAGAGTACGGATCAGAAGCTAAACACCTTTAGTTGAGGCCTTCAGAGTTTGAGTTGTCACCAGAAACTGAGATACCAAGATAATATTTTGATCCCTAAAAGCTGATATGTCGTAATCAGAGTCATCTGTTTCTGATTATTTATAATCTAGGTCTTTTATCTTCTCTACATATGCTTTCATTTAGCTCATATCTGAGTTGAATTATAAGCTTATGATCCTGCATATTTGAACATATGTTAGTAAACCCAATTGTTCTTTAAGTACTTTGTTATCATCAAAACCCAAGGGATATGAACAATTTTGTTCCAACAATATCCCCGTTTTTAATGATGACAAACAAAGGTATTTAAGAACAATGTGTAGAAGCAAGCTTCATCTCAAAGTTTTGATGACGTCAACATCAAGATCAAGAATAATTCATTTGTGCAAAAAGGCAAACGCTTTCAAAAGACCAAGATCAAGTGGAATGGAAGTGATCAACATTAAAAGCTTCATGAACATTTGACTGATCAACTTTCAAGTTTTGGACACAAGCTATGGTATATCAAAATCCATTAATTTAATTGATATACAAGTGTTCAACATCTTTATCATTTGATCACATTGCATTAGCATATTTTTTAAACTATTAGAATTGGTATAATACTATTTTTATAAGCATTTTTCTGAAAAATAACAGTGTTAACCGATTAACCATATAGGTTAACCGGTTAACCATTTCAAATTTTGAATATTTTAGTATAACGTTCAAGTGTTAACCGATTAACCATATAGGTTAACCGATTAACACTGAACGTATTTTGAAAAATGGCTTTGTTTCAAGTTCAAAAATGGTTTGAAAATTATATCAGTTCATATTTTGAATTATACTCAAATATACCTGTTGGAAAAGGTGTGTTTACACATATAAATTCTGAGTTTTTCAAATTGAAAAACAATCCTCCAATAATCATTTTCAAAACATTCTTTGAATCAAATTCACCACTTTCAAATACTTTTCAAATTTTTCAAAAGTGTTCATATTGATCATATCTTTCATATGCATAGCATTGAACACTTGTGTTGAAATTAAATGAGTGAATTTTGATCAGAAGGAGAAGATCAATCTCAGCATTGACATTACCATTATTACTCTCAAATCAAAGTATTCAGATTACTTGTTTTTGACTTGTGATCCAGGTTTGTTGGACACAAGGGTGAGTGTTTACAAGAGGATTGTTCTACACTTGTTGATTTTTATTGTTTGATAGTAGGCCTCACCGGTTGATGGTGTGATAGGTTGTACTTTATTAAACAATAGTGAAAACTCTCTTTCGTGTTGAAAGGGGAGTGGAGTACTCTCGGATTGTGAGGGGAACCACTATAAATCTTGGTGTCCACTGTTCTTTTACTTTCTAATGCATTAATCACCAAGAACCTAACCAGTAAAATTTCAAGAATACCGAAAAACCTCAAAAGTCCCTAAAAGCCTAATTCACCCCCCCCCCCCCCCCCCCCTCTTAGGCATACTCTGTACTTACACAATGGTTGGCATATTTAACTAACTTGACAACATCAAAGTCTTAGGTTTATAAGCTGCTCCTGAGTGTAATAGTTCAAAGGTTGAGTTTTTTTAGCCCCCCCCCCCTAAGTCCTATCCAAGTTCATTAAACTTATCTTGATAGTGTAATACCCCAAATTTTGCCTTAAGATTTAGTCGGATCATCTCGCATTCCATTGTATTTTTTATTTCATTTAACTAACCGCTAACAGGTTTGTGTAGTCGGTTGATTCTGCAGGAAAATAATCATGTGGCGCACTCTTTAGTTCAGAAAGGGTAAAATTGTCAACTTGCGAATTTTGAGTTGTAGTCAGGAAATCCGGGCCGTTTTAATTTGGGCTGAGGTGAAATGCTGAAAGGTTTAATTGGGATTTACGTCGGAGACAGGGATAGTCGGATAACTTAGAAAAATTAGAATTTAATAAAAATATGTAATGATCATTTTGTTTTATCTCCTTTTAAATCAATTGCATTGCATTATTGTTTTTCATTTTTTTATCATAAAATATTTCTATTTGTATTCCCTTTTAAGGACGATTCATCTCATGAGCTTATCTCATTTTTTACCTTTTTAACTTAATTTCTTTAAAATATAAAAATAAAATAATTTCTATTTCATTTTTAATATTTGCATTTCATTAATTTGCATATCAAGAATAAAATAAAATAAGTAATAGAAAAATGAAGAATTATTATTATTAATAATTGTTCTTTATATCAAAATCATAAATAAAAAGAATATGTGAACAAAATTACAAAAAAAATATTTAATTACATTTTATATAAAATTACAAAAATAAAAATACATTTTTCTTAAAGATAATTCCTAAAGTTTTCCGGTTCTCCCGATTATCCGATTATGCTCCATTCTTCTTCCGTACCTGCGAACAAAACAAACAAATAAAATTTAATCGTTTAGTTTTGATACTCTCAGAGTGGTATCATCATCGGGTTCGATTCTCGGCCAATGGCCTATCCGGCAGTTTACTGTTCTTATCGAAGGCACCGAAAGAGGAAGAGGAAAAGTGGTTTCGAAATAAGCTGTTGGCCCGAAGAGCTTATTTGAAAAGCCGATTTGAGAAGTGATTTTTTCTCAAGAGGATGGTTTTCCCATTAGGACCTTAACTCCAATCCTCCGGAAAAAAAATCAATTCCAACGAAACCAGTTCAGAAAAAACTGATTCAGAAACCAGTTCAACATTCAAACCAGTTCAAACGAAACAGTTCAGAAATACCAGAAAAATCAGTTCAACCAAGTTTCTCAGCAAACAAGTCAAACAAGCTTCTGAAAACCGTAAACCGTGGTCGTGAGTAAACCTCAACAAACCTGAAAAAACAGTCAAAGCATCCGACAAATTCGCAGGAAATGTAGTAACAACCAAACACATCGTGGAAAAATCATTCAAAACCCAGCAAACCAGGAAAAACTCAAACAACAACTTTTCCGTAAAATCAGTCGCGGTGACCGTTAAGCGCTCCGGAAATCACTAGAATCCGGCCCACAAATGAAATTCAAGAAATCATATAAATTGAAAAGGAAAACTCTAACGAAAGGGGAATAAAAAAGAAGCGGCACCGCAAAGACGGCGACTCAGAAAGCTCTTTGAGCCCTCATCATCACCAACCGTTAACAGGATTCAGAAGCAACAAAATTTTCATCATCATCCCTAACGAAAGAAAGAAGAAGATTCGAAGAAGTTTACCGAAAACCTACGGCCGCCGGCTCAGGATCCATCATCGCCAGAGGACAAGCGCCACCAAAGCCAATCGTGAACCG